TATTGTATGGTTACACATTCTAATGTTTTATTATCACCCTCTTTGTTATTTTTATCTCTTTCTGTCCCTCTTAGTAAAAATTCTCAGGCTGCTAATATATTTTCTTGCAATGTTTGCATTGAAAATAATGATGATAAAATGTATTATTCTTTCCAAGTAAAAGAATAAAATTCTCAAAGAAATAACAAATCAGCCATTGAGTACATTCTTTTGAAGAAATAATGAATTAAAAATATTTCTTTAACTGGTAGAAATAGCAAATAGAGCATTCTTGCTCTGGGGTGAAATTTACACCTCTGAAGAGAGCCAATGGAAAGGCAAGGACCAGTCAAGCTGCAGAAACATCTTGTGCTGGTCTTCTGCATAGGAATGAATTTCACCTTAATTTAAAATAAACAAACCTTAGTAGGTGGTAATAAAATAAAAAGGTATTAGCTTGCTCATTTTCATTATTTTTTCTAAGAAAAAAAAATATCTGTGTAGAAATATCCACCTTGCACTGCTTGGCGTGACTTTAGAGTTACTTTTTCAAAAGCCACCATTGCATTGTTGATCTTACATTCAGAAGCCTCTAAAGCTGCATGCGAGGTGATGTACCTTAAAGGATAGAATGAAAAAGCACACTTACCTCATGTAATCAAGTCATCTTCCACAATAGGAAACATTTTTATACTGTTTTACGTTCCTGGGTTCTGCAAGTTTCAAGATACTCTTGTTAATCAATGTTGTGAAAAATTTACTAGCAGCACACCAAAGCACTTTCTATATTATTTCAATTACCAATCAAACCAAACTAGTATGAACATTGATGCAAGAAAGAAATTCCATATCAACCTTGTCAGAGAAAGAAGTCAGTAGTGAGACCTGAGTGCAAGTAGGGCTGCACAATTTAAACACAGACCTGATAAAGTCAATGTAATATCAATGTACTTTTTAATATTGAAAGCCATTTAATACGTTTTCATATATATTACTGTTACTTTGTAAACCTTAGCAGGAAATGGTAAACAAAAGAGAATAACAAATGTGGATATCATACCAGTTGGTGCATTGCTTCTCAGCATTACACATTACATCAGTACTAAGATTTGTACTGTGTTCAAATGGCAGCAGTTAGACACAGTTAGAAAATGGACAAGATACATCTTTGAAGATTTCTTTGTTTTGCATTTGCCAATTATAAGTATCTTGTGAAGAGCAACACACTGATCAACAAACATATCATCAGTATTTCCTCTTTACCCTGATTTTTTTTCTAGAAACCATATGTTCCACAATTGCTTCACGTGCAGTAGCCATGAAAATGCTATATAAGGCCATTCAGATCAGACAAACTATAGCAGATGTCTGTTCAACTCTGCAAGGTAATATTGCTGAGCACTGCCAAAATCTGCCTAGTGTACAAAACCCTAGACTCAGTAGACAAAGAGTAACAACACACCTTTAAAGAAACCAAACTCAGGGAGGGATTCTGTCTCTTTTTGTGTTAAAAACCATTTACTGAATTTGTTTAGTAAAGCAAGCATCACACAATGCTTCAAAATTTTAAAATTCAGGGATAAAAGTTTACATCCAAAAAGATGAATGAAAATTGTGCTTTCAGACAGTAAAGTTACTCATCATACAGGGGAACCAATTCATCTCACCATCAGATTCTAGGAAAATTTGTTTATGTACTGTGTGTGTGTATATATATATATATGTGCAGTTCATATCCAGGTCCTGCAAAAATCTAGAACTATGTGCTTCACTTCATGTAGCAAAGGCACCTGTGTTATTCTTCCTTTTGGACAAAAGGTGGTATTATGTTCCAGGTTTCCTGATGAAGAATACATTGATTTCTGAATATCTCACTCCCATCTCTGCACTGAGTGGCAACACAAACCACAAGAGAAGGCAGCGCTGTATTCCTGCTTACACTGGAAGAAGTTGCTCTGCAGGCCGTTTGAAGCATCGAACTTGTCACAAGGGAAACCGAGCAAAACTGTGAAGCACAGGGATAGTAACAAAAGGCTATTCTGGTGTGAGGATAAATTGGAGTCTTTTTAGCTCCACAAGCAGATGTTGCTACTGGATTGACATGTGGAGCCTGCTCCTGCTGGGGACAGGTAAAGTTTGCCATTGGGACAGACGCAGAGCTCGTAGATGGTCTGTCGAGGAGCTGAAGAGCTCGGGGAGGAGGAAGAGGAGGAGGAAAAGGAACCCACTGGTAGATTTCCCAGACGTATTGTATCTGCGTCTAAAAATATCTACAAGAGAAGGGGAAAAAAAAAAAAAAAAAAAGAGAGTAATTAACTTTCAGCATCATGACATATTTTAAAGATGTGCTTTGAGTAAATAATGAGTTTTTTAGAAATATGAAAAAATAGAAATAATGTAGAATTATTTTAGAAGTATTAGAAAGATTATTAGAACTATGAGTTAGCAATAAATATTTTTTGAAAAAAGCTGTCAACATTTCTTGTTTTTCAATTCTTTGTAAGTGTATCATTACTACAGTATACACAAATAGTTCACCCAACATGTTTATTCAGATACAAGCAGTGTCACACAAAAACATTTTGACAGTATTCTTGAATAGGTTGAATTTTCACTTTTACATTTTATGATTAAAATTATTAATTCATGGCAGTAGCATATCGTTGCTCTGGAATAATTTGTATTTTAATAAGTGTGAAATCATATTAAAGCACATTCCCCAGCGTGTTTCTGTAAAGCAGCTGGAAATACGTGCTGAACTGTGGTAAATTGTAGGGGCTTAACAATAGCTATATTAGGAGAATAATTAAATAAGGGTACAGAGTCATATACAAAAAACGATGAGCTTATTTGACCTAAATTAAGAGGAGGAAAAATTTCAGGTTAAAGTCTTATTATGAAGGTCATTGAACTATTATCTTTTTTTACTGAATATTGATTGATTGATTAAAAATATTGTGTTTGTTAAATCTCATCTCATTGGAAACAACGTAAGTCAGTATGAGACTGTAAATACCAGTAATGTTCATGAATTTGTATGGATTCCTGCAATATTTACACTTATGTTACCTTTTCAGGGTGTTGAATAAACAATGTAATGAAATTGGGTAACTAAAGCAGGAAAAACCCGTAACTTCTACCGCAAAAACAAACAAGTTTACAGCTGGTTAGAGTTTATTCTTAATTTATGGAAGGAGTAAATGAGAACCAAGGGAAGATCAGATACGGCCTGTGAACTTCAAGAAAACAGGTTAAAAAATCAAAATGGCTTTAAGACCTGTAGATAACAGTACAAAGCTAACAAAAATTAATTCCTTAAATACTTACTAGTGGTTTTTATAAGGTATTGAAAATGAACAAATCCAGCTTGACACCATGATACCATAATGTTGGCGTTACATGTAAAGAATCTGGGGGAACATGGCATGTATGTTTTTTCTGCAGGAGACAAATATTATTTTATTATTAAATAATTATTTTATTATAAAATCAGTGGTAAATGGTAGAAAAGTAGCGCAGATGCACTACTAAGCTCCTGCTGGAGAGAATTGAAGGACAGCAGGCTGGGAAAAATTTGAGAAGATTGGATAAAACCCCATACAAAGACTAATGCACATTCATGTTAACATTTACAGCAGAAGCCTTGTAAATGATTGGAATCATCAAAGAAAATACAGGCTGACAATAGCCCAAAACAATATAGCCCCCATTGTGGTGAGTTCTCCAGCTCCCAGAGTAAAATACTGTCATTACTGGGAATTGACACCAAAAGGGACAGAAAGGGAGACTCTCAGAGACACAGGTGACAGCAGCATGGCAGGATATCTGTTTTAATTCACATCCTGACTAGTAGAGGAATTTATTACAAAACTAAAATGAAGCAGATTATTATCTTTGTTCTGTAATTTATATGACAAGGGAATTATGTATTTACACACACATATACATCTTGCTGCTTTAAAAGGCCAGTATCACAGATCTGAAGTAATTAGGAGACAAAACCCCTGCAGAAATAATTTAGATGGAAGAAATGCAGATGGTGCTGGGAACAATTTAATAATGTTCTGCTAGAATTTACAATTGAAAAAAAAAAAGTTTACATATGTAAAAACATTTAGCTCAGATAGGAGTAAATTACTATAGCAAGCATAATAAGAAAACAAAAAAATGTCACAGGGTGAAAAAAAAAATAAATAGTTGCAAATGAGAAGCTAGGAATTCGTAAAAAATAAGGAAACAAAGGACATAATCATTAATCAGTGAAGTAATGAGTAATTAAAAGTAATCCTTAACTTCCCATACCAAGATTAAAATAAATGTTAACAAGTCTGCTTTTTATGTAGCAGTGGTAGAGTTATCAATAGTATTGAGTAAAAATCCAGTAGCATTCAACAGTGTAAGCTCCATGTAAGTATAAATGTATCTTTTATAGTGAATAGTCCTCAGCATAGTTCTGTGTTTGGAGGAAGATCAGGTATTGATATCAGAAAATTACTGTGATAAAATACTTTCAATTTCAACAGTAACTCAACAGGATATTAAGTGGGAGCCAGTAACATTATATATTTTTAATCAGCAGCTCTTGATAACTTTCAACACATAAATCTAACAAAAATATTGAGCAGACTTTTGGACTTTTATTACTGATTTTCAGTAAGCCCTGATACACTTGGAGTATCAAAGAAGATAAAGAAAAGACTATTTCTATGATTTGCTTAAAAAAAAGAATCAAATCAGGAGATATAAGAATGTTATATATGTGCTAATAAAAGGTACTTCCATGTAGAAGGCTGTGTAAGAAAATCCAACAACAATGAAAGATTAATTAGTTGTATTTTTGTCAGGGCATGTGACTGATCATTGTAACAGTTTAGCTGCAGTTCTGTAGGGAAGGATCATGGGAAATATGTGAAAGAAAATTGGATGGCTTCTAAAAGCCATGTCTAGATTGAAAAAAATAATTAACTCAGAAAAAAATCAGAGGGTATATGTGTCAGAGATCAGGATATATTAAAATCTCTTGAACTTTATTATCTTTTTTTTCTAGGAGCTCAATATTTTTGTGTGTTTATTTACAGAATCACAGAATCATTTTGTTTGGAAAAGACCAACCAGTAAGTCCCACCAGTAACTTAATTCTACTGAGTCCAGTGCCTCCGGTGTCATAATCTTGAGAGGTATCTGTTCCTTTCCCAGCACGAAACCCAGAACATCTAGTGAGCAATGTGAACACCTGATGAGCCACGTGAACACCTGAGAAACAGTGACGTGGCTCCTTGTGAGGGTGTATCTGCTGGGGTGAATCTAACAAGCTCTATGCTTTTATAGAAAGCTTGGAAGGCTGTGCAATAAAACAGACTTCTATAGCTAATTCCTGGGGAAGCCCGAGATGCAGAGGATTAATAAATGGCTTAAAGATGGCTTAAAGCCAGCAATAAAATCTATTCTCTATATATGCTGTCAAAGTTATAAATAAAAGACTAAATTTAGAGATGCAAAATTGCTATCTTTTAGTTAAGCAGATGTCCAAATATACCATCATAGTTGCCCAATGCATAAGGAAATTCAGAGGGACATAGTTCATGTTTTAGGACATACCCTCTCATCTCCTATCATCTGCTAAAAAAAAGAAAATAATGGCTGAAAAGTCCTCCAACATCAGTAAAACTTTAACTACTTACCATTTTATGCTTGATGTTATAAGGTGCTTAAAAAGAAAGGAAGAAGTAGCAAGACAAAAAACTGAGCAGTATGCTCCCAGGGAACATTGTTGCTGATGGCAGTAGTTAATGGAATTGCCTGTACACATGGTATGTCACTAATTTTTTGTGCTGGGAAAGGCATGAGAGAAGCCATTTAATACTTCATATGCACTAAGACCATACAAGCCAAGCATGCTCTTTCTGAGGGTCTCACTCCAGCAGATAAACAGGCAAGGATAAAACAAAAAATAATTATCCATTCTTGAAACAGAAGACTGAGAGATTACAAAATGGAAATGTCAGCAGCTACTCAGAGAAAGGCTGTTTCAGAAAGAGCAGAGCACTGAGCAGCATCATTCCCTCTAAATATTTAAGGTTTAGAAATCCTAGATGACTGCTTCATCCTGTGCACCTTAGTGCTGAGAAAAATATATTAGCCCTATAATATTTAAAAGGAGATCTGATTTCTAACTTACTAAACTAGCAAAATGAATCAGCCTGTAGGGCATGTGATAGGAATGGATACATTGCATTCTTTTAAAGTATGTTGTTTGCTAAGTCTTCTCTTTTTTTTTGTTGCAAGTCATCTACTCAGCAGACTGTTGTTAATCAGAACAGTCAGAGGGAAAGGAGAGGAAGGCAAGCCAGAAAATATAGATTATCTACAAACCAAAGAACTAAACTGAAGGAAAGAACTTTCTGTGGGCAAGGTATAGACACAAGGTAAAAAATCAAGTATTCCTACAAACCATTTTATACAGAGATATAAACGCTCTCCACTAATTCTTTGATGAAGTCCTCTCAAGAGAGGAGATGATAGGCTAAATTGATAAAGCCAAATGGAAAAGTTAGGATTGTCCGGCGCAGAGCTACAAAGATGATTAAGGGAGTGGAACATCTGCCTTATGAGGAAAGGCTGAGGGAGCTGGGTCTCTTTAGCTTGGAGAAAAGGAGACTGAGGGGTGACCTCATCAATGTTTACAAATATGTAAGGGGTGAGTGTCAGGGGGACGGAGTTAGGCTTTTATCAGTGATGACGAGTGATAGGACAAGGGGTAATGGGTGTAAATTGGAGCATAGGAGGTTCAAGGTGAATATCTGAAAAAATTTTTTTACTGTAAGAGTGACAGAGCACTGGAACAGGCTGCCCAGGGAGGTTGTGGAGTCTCCTTCACTGGAGACATTCAAAACCCACCTGGATGCGTTCCTGTGTGATGTACTCTAGGTGACCCTGCTCTGGCAGGGGGGTTGGACTAGATGATCTTTCGAGGTCCCTTCCAGCCCCTAAGATTCTATGATTCTATGATTTATAAACATTGAAAAATTTTCTACATTCATGTACAGTTTGATTAGACAGATAATTATATAGCGCTGCAAAGGCATATTTCATGGCTAACGTAGATAAATAATGGCAACAAAGTGGAGGAAATGTGGAAGAAATGAAGAAAAGCCGAAAGGCAGGCAGTTCATCAACTGGTATAAGGAGACAGTATAATGACATCTCACTAAATAAAACTTTTGCATTCCGTTAGGCTCTTCAGAATTAACCTGAATTATAACAATGCAAG